TCGAACACTGGAGGAAAAGCCTCTGTCCACCACCCCAAACTGCGTGTGGTAAGGACTCCCTAGCTTCACAAGTAGAACCTGGGGGGTAATGTGCATGGGGAGTTCAGAGGAAACTTGCTCTGGAAATAGTGCAATAGGTGAACCAAGTTCCCTAAGTTTTTAAAAGCAAACTGACCCCAATTTATTCAATCTGATGATTGGCAGTGATGGGCAGGATCATCTTTAGCTTTACTCATGATAGTTCATGTTTGGCAGTCCAGCATAGTATGGTAATACCACCTGGTGAGCTCCTAGATGGTCTTATGGAAAATTTCATTTCTACAGAGTCTGTTGCAACCAGTAGTAAGTATAGTTAAATTGGTTGCTAGTGCAGAATTGGATTGATGAAAGCACACCTGTCTGGGAAACACTTGCCACAGAGTGGGATCCAGTGAAAAAGAGATGTAAGGGGCCCTGTACAGTAAAGAGACAAGAGAAGGAGAAAAATACTCACTCTAGCAGATGTTATAAAACAGCCACAGAGGGTAGTCAAAAAACACTTAAAAGAAGAAGCTGCCAGATCATATAATGAATGTGAGAGAAAAGTATTGGGAGAAGTCTACATACCAGACCATATGATGTTCTGGAGGACAATTCAAAGGGGCACCTAAAGACATTGAAATGTGATGAATCTGATGAGATGTAACTCTCAGAAGTTTCCTCGCCTGTACAGTTAGAGTTGAGTTCAATAACCTCAAAAGGAGTTAGTGTGAGCCATATAATGCTTCAGGGCTATGACAGGATATAACAAAACATTTGTGTCTGATCAGTTGTAGAGGTGAGAAATAGCTGGCAAATGAATTGGTGAGAAGGATTTATTCCCTTTTCTGGTAGAGAAGAAAGGACCTATCAGGGTATAGCAGGACAGAAGTGGAGTGATAAAGAGTCCTGTGCACATGACTCCAAACAACTCCAGCCTGTGACTTCCACATGCTAGCAGCAACAAAATAAAATACCCTTTAAGGGAAAGATGATACATGGTACATGAGTCTAAAGGCTCAAATGGATGTCAACACAAAGCATGTAATATCACCCTAATAACCCAGTTCAGTAATTGAAAAGGCCATTTGGGAAGAAGGACTAAACAATTGGAGAAAACTGGATAGAACTGGGGATTCAAAACTTTCCGATGTTTAGAATAACAAAAAAGTAGACGATAAAGCTGCCTTATGTAAAGCGAAGATAAATTGAAGTAAAAAACCAGGTAAAAAAAAACGATATATGGTGGGCACCTTTGGATGAAGTGGGTTCAAGTTCCTTGTGAGACACCATTGGCTATAAGTGTATCATTGCCATTGATAAATGGCCATTGTGGGTTGGCTGCCATTTTATGGTGCAAAGCAATGGGACTATCTGCATCAAACAACTGGTAAAATTCTTAAAAGTAAAATTGTATAAAATGTCAAAATACATCAAGCTAAAAATTAAACAATGTCCAAAATTCAGACATTGAACAGAAGATGTGGAAGTCGTCAACACTGAAGCCGTTTGTAACAGTAAGAAGAAGTTGTTTATGATAGCATTGTTCTTGACACTGAAAAGTGTGACACTCAAGACACAGCCCTGAGAAACTGCAAGTTTCTGTGTTAAAGAGTGGTAAAGGGTCAAACCCACACAGATTTAGAATCAGTGTCGTAGCCAGGATGCACACATTGAGGGCGCAATGACAAACTCAAAGAGCACGAGTACATTGTAATCATTTTCAGTTTTCATTATAAATTTTTGTTATCATTTATTGATGTTCCTTATTAATTCATAAGCGAATTCACTCATGAAAAATCTTTGATATCCAACAACAACAGCATAAGTTAGATATGAACTGATAGGTTGATCAAAATAAAAAGCATGAGTCAGTCTTAGGGAAAGTTGATTGGACCCTTGTAATTAATTAAAGCAATGTAAACCAAGACCAAATTTTGTTATTAAAACAACTGTAATCGTCTATTCTGAATAGAATTGAAGTCTCTCAATATCTAATGCTTCCCATCAACACTCTGACATATATCATCAAGGATGCATTTCTCAAACCTGATGAAGATCAATTTTGCCAGTCTTTCATCAGACATCGACTGACGGAAGTCTGTAAGCACATTTGTCAGAGCAGAAAAAAACTCTTTCACATGTTGCAGTTGATGATCCAATTGTTAATGCTGCCTCATACAGTTCTGTAATGGCTGGAAAGCCCTTCAATTTCAAATGGAAGAGCTGTTGCAAATCAGACACTAAGTTATGTTTGTCGTTTTTCCTCCAGTGGTCACTGATGTATTTTTTGGCAACATCAATTTGAGCCAAAACAAAGCTGTCCATTTCAAGGCCGATCAAGTCTGCGAGAAATCCCACTCAGGATCTAGTGACTCCATGGCACGAATAAGATGTGAATTTTTCTCCGAGAAACGTTCATCAAGCTCAACCAGGATACTGTTAATTAGACAGAACCACGATCGTTTGAGGTTATCATTTTCTGACAAATTGGTGCCATCTCTGTGCAGATGGTCAACAATGTAGTCTTTGAAACCAGTGTTTTCATGACATCTTCTCTTTTCTGCAGGTTGATGGTCTTGTACTGTTATACTGTTATCATCACCTGCAGTATTTTGTAGAATCAGCTTAACTTCATCCAGCAAAGTGATAAATGTTTCATCGGTTCTCAACAAAGCAATAGATGCTCGTGAAGATGATATAAGCATCAAGGCCTGCATCAGATTGATACTGACTGATTGTAGATGAATGTTGACAGGTGCTAGTATACTCAGTGCTTTGTGGACAGAATCGTCAAGATAGCTTTATATGATCCAGTGATGACTTTCACAGTAGCTAGGTGGCCAGTCCACCGCTGTTCCAACAGTCATTTCAGTGCTTACCCAGTGTAGCGAACAGACACAGTTGGCTTATGTATGAAGTTGTACAGGATGTTGCAAGTGCCAAAAAAGGCGTCCACATTAACATTTGCAGCCGAAATTCCATGCACAACTACAAGGTGTAGCTGGTGGTTTAGGCAGTGTACATAGGGGACAGATTGGCCCAGTCTTTCCTGGAGAAGTTTTTGAACACCCTCAGATCATCCCATCATCACACTAGCTCCATCATAGCATTGACTAAGAATGTTTTCCAAACTGAAGCTATGCTCTTGAAGTATTGCTATGATGGAGTCAGTCAAGGAATGTACATCAAAATTGGAAACTTGAATAACTGCAAGTAGATGTTCAACAATATTTTCGTCTTGTAAGTATCTCACACATAAGCACAGATTTTCACGGCTGCACTTATCACGAGTTTCACTCACCTTTATTGTGTAGTTCTTATCACCAACTTCATTTCGGATTCTTTGCTGGATAGTTTTCACAAGTAGACTGAGAATTTGATTATGGATTTCAGGTGACGTATACTTTGCATTGCGTGGAATTGAACTATGAATTTCTTCCAGTTTCTTATCTCTGCTGATGGCAAAGTTGAACATGGTCTGAAAAAATCCGTCCTCCATGCCAAGTTCACTGATATAGTTGCCCTTAGGACCCTATTTAGTATATTATTGTTAAACTGTTAAAGTATTAATTACAAATTAAGTTATTTAAGTGTCAGTTAGGTATGAATAATACAGTAAGTAATCTATATATATAAAAGGAAGGCCTTTGTGTGTTTGTGGCATTGTGACATGATATCTCAGACAACAGGCCAGCTAGAGCAAAGTGATGAATACATTAAATGCATGTTTTGACCAGGCCAAGAAAGTGACGTGCTGATTTTTGCAATCCGATGTCTGTCTGTCATCCTGTAATAGATCTGCCTATTCAGCCAAAAAGCAAGAAGACGTGAAAAAACTATTCAGTGTGTTGACAGATCACGTGTGCTTGCTCATTTGAACATAAGTAGGCCTAAAAACTTTTAAATGCAAAGAAATATATATATGTATATAAAATCCCCTAGGCAAACGCCTGGTACCTCAGCTAGTAAGTAATAAGACCGATTCCTAAACTATTGTATAGAATTTACTAAAGTGCCTGCTAACAATTAAAGTAACATTCCCTCACCTCTCAAGAACAAAATGGATGCCGTGGATAGAATCTTTCTGCAATAATAATGCATCAAACACTGTAAATATAGCAATGCATAAACAAAAATGAGAGAGCAGTTTCAGTTATGTGTCTTCTTATCTTCACTGTTCGATGAATGCATACACTTACCTTCTTGCGATATAATTCACTTCCAACATGAATAATTTAGTGTATTCAACTATGCTATTGTTTTGTGTAAGAAGTAACACGTTGTCTAACATTCAGTTATAATTCTTATTTTATTAATAAATGAACGATTAATGTTGCATCGATCAATAACAATTTATATGAAATCTGACGAATCTGAATAATCGATGTCAGCAGTATGCAGCCATCAATGCAATAAAAAAACACAAAAGATGAAAGCATAAGTACAAATATATTTTATTTTATAAATATTGATTTACAGCAAATGTTTTTTCCAATAATTCTTACCTCTGCTGACACTCTCCTGCCCTTCCTCCCCACTTAAAACCAGTGCTAGAGACTGGGATGGTATCAGTCTCGAAAAACTGATAAAATTATCTGAATGAGGTGCTTATATACAGTACCAGGATGGAGGGCGCATTGATGTAGGTGGAGAGTATATCACCAAGGGCAATTGAATGGGGTATATAAGACTGGGGCAAGTGAGAAAAGTTATACCAATTCTTAGATAGGCAAAGATTGAAACCCTGGTGGACGAGTAATAACTATACGTGTCGGCTGAGGTAAGTATTATTGGAAATACATTTTTAATTTAGGAAAATGTTAACTTTAATATAAAACTTGGTTTTAACTTAATTAATGTGGAAAGCTTTGAGTTTAATATAAAATTTAGTCTTAAAATAATTAATATGGCAAGTTTTGAGAAAAGCATTCTGTTATTTTGAGAAGCAAGACAATAACTATGCCACTTTTTAATCTTAGGATGAAAAAATGATAACATGTATGATAAACTCATCTTTGATGTATGGCTATGAATATTTGGGAAACACTGGTCGTCTTGTTATCACTCCTCTCACTGATCGCTGCTACCGTACCCTCTTTGGAGCATTGCATCTTCATTTGGGTGGTGCTCCTGAAGGACCAGCAGGCACTGGGAAGACTGAAACCACAAAGGACTTGGCCAAAGCTGTTGCAAAGCAGTGTGTCGTATTCAATTGTTCAGATGGCCTGGACTATATTGCTTTAGGAAAGTTTTTCAAGGTAATATATTCTATGCTCCTCATGAAATAGAAAATTTCTCACTCTAACAAATATTACTTCTATTTTGTGATACTGAGGTTAAAGATATCAACTAAAGTCACAATAAAAAAATAAAGTAAAGTATAAATATTGAGTGAATTGTCAACTGTATACTACTTATGCTTTTTTTAAATAGTTTACACAGCATGGTCACAAGTAAATTGACACCACCTTTTCAGAAAAAAATTAAATTTTTAAGTCATATTCACATGAATTGATATATTCATAATTTAATTAATATCTAGTAGATCTTTCTTTCGCTTCGTGGAGTTCGTTGATCCTTTGGGGCATCATGAGAATCATCTCGTCAATTTTAGATTGTGGGATTTTCGCCCACTCTTGCTTCAAAACTTGGAGTAAATCGCTCTTCGAAGTTGTTTTTTTTTATTGTTTCTTGACTTGCCAGTCGAGTATGGTCCAGAGGTTTTCGATGGGGTTCATGTCAGGAGATTAGCTCAGCCAAGGCAACTTCTGGATACCATTTTCTTCCTGCCACTTTTGGGTGTTTCTAGCATTGTGACACGGTGCTCCATCTTCCTGGAACAATGTTGTGTTCTTGTCCACGAAACCCGAGGAATAAAGTGGCAAGAGTCCTTCCTCCAATATTTCGACGTATTTCGCAAAATTTATGTTGCCAACGCACTCCACTAAGCTCGATCTCCCACCAACCCAAACAGCTCCCCAAACCATTACGCTGAAACCATCATGCTTCACAGTTCGCTGCAATCTGTTGAGCCAAAACTCTTGGTGAGGCATTCTCCAGACCCATATCCTTCCACTGTCTGAAAATTGAGCAAATCTTGATTCATCTGAGAACAATACGTTCTTCCAAAAGTCCAGAGGCTTGGTCATCATATCACTTGCCCACTTCTTTCGTCTGACTATGTTGGCAGGTCTTAATAAGGGCTTCCGTCTAGTTCCTCTGCAATGATAACCCAATCTGTGAAGAATTCGTTAAACAGATTTCGGGCTCATCCTACCAACTTTGGCCACTTCTGCAGTCGTTAATCTGGGATCCATTTC